CAGGTTGAAAAGGTATGGAGACAGGACACATCCCTGGCGTACACCCTTCCCAATTTTGAACCATGCAGTGTTGCCCTGCTCTGTTCTGAGGACTGCCTCTTGGGAAAATAAAAAATGTCTCCAGAGTGCTAAAGAGCAATGATGTCAGTTGAGACTAAGGTGTCCTTGATCCAGAACCTAGTCATCTCATTTGCTAGCAGTGTATCTGATAAATGGACAAGGAATAAAGAGGGCAGAAGAATTGATGTCTTTGGGTTGTGGTGTTGGAGAAGAGTATTAAATATACATACCATAGATTACCAAGAGAACAAGCAGTTCTGCCTTGGAGAGGCTATAACCAGGTTGTTCCTTGGAGGCGGCAAGGCTTTTGAAACTTCATGACACATACTTTGGGCATGTTGTTAGGAAGGATCAGTCATTGAAGAAGGACATCATGCTTGGAAGGGTGAAGAATCAACACAGGAGAGAAAGCCACTGGATGAGATGGATTAACAGTGACAATGGCAATGAGGTCAGGTATGTTGGAGATGGTGAGTTTGGATCGGAAGAGGGTAAGTTTCACAGCTGCTGTTCATAGGGCCACTAACTCTACTCAACAGCACATACATGACAACAGTGAGAAGCAGCTGCCAGCTGGTCAGTGGCAGGAGGGTGGACATTTTCTTCTGCTGTAATTTACCATCTCGTAAAACCCACTGTAAGCTATGCGTTGATTCTGACTGAATGACACAGAATAACAACAATTTCAAAGTATTTCTAGGGCTTCAAGTACACATTTTGGATCGTAATCATTTCTGGGCTCCATTTCCAAAATTATCATTCAAGTTTATAAATTTATAAACATAAGCAAATGTAATTTGTTTTTATTGAAGCCTTGTCTGGGAAATCTCATAAGGAAAGACAGCATGAACTGTATGAATGAAATATTTCACATCAGGGAGCATTTCTGACATTCTTCTGTTATCTTGACAGAACTTTGTATACTATTTCCCCACTCTTAAAAAAAAATGGAGACATACGCTCTCTGCTGGCATAGAGGTAAGGAGCTGTGCTACAATCCCAAAGGCACAGAGTTCGAATCCACCAGCTGCTCTGCAGGAGTCTCCTCCCCTGGGGTTTACTGCCTCTCAACAGTCACTGAAAGGTCAGCTACAGCTCAGTTCTGATGACTCCACAGCACACAAAAAAATGGATAAATACCTGTAAGTGCTTTATTTTACAGATGCAACCACCATTTACAGAATCGAAGGAGATCAATACTAAACACACACTCACTGAGGAAACACTATGCTTTGTCCTATACCGGAAAACCACAGCTCATTGGATAAGACCTAAACAGTGACATGTAATTATTAAAGACTTTCTGTTAACAAACTATGTTATTACAAAACTCTCACAACATTCAGCATAATGACATCTGAGAAGAACACCTTGCAAATACACTAACTGGAACTTACTTACTTACTTACTTATTTAGGTCAGACTACTTTTAACATCACTATTCAAAAATGTAAAAGACAATAAAGTTAGTATTTAATATTGAAAGCAATACCTTTAAAAATAAAAAGTTATTTTGCCTCATAATTAAGTCTGCAGAAAATCTCTGCCAATGTAGTCCGTAGGGAGCTACACCGCTAACACAAAGGACCACTCCTCTCTGCTGGTTCCAGCCCAGCAACAGCTCCTCTGCAGAAAGGCAGACAATCTCCTCCCTTGCAGTGTATCACCTGGGAACCAGTGGCTGATCTGCTACGACGGCTCCACGGCTCCAATGCCACAGCAGTGAGGGGGGAAAGAAGAGGAAAAAGGTAACCTGTGTGTGAAGCAATGCTTTATGTGCAACTCAAAGCAAATTTAAACTTAAAACAAGGGCACCATAGACCTTAAAAAAAATTTTCTTAGTTTAATGTTTTATGACACGTTACTTTAGAGACATTTTCAAATACCAAGTTAGCTAACTTTAAAAAAAGTATTAGCTAAACGATAACCTGTAGACTCTAAGAAAGCCCAGAAGCAGTAGTGCTTTATGTGGTGGGGTCACCTTGAGTCACAAATCACTGGAAAACAGAGTAATAGATACAGAGACTGAAAGAAAACTGTGTGTCAAGGAGACAAAATAGACTAAACTGAATAGATGAGAGGTCTTAATATTGTGAAAATATCATCATGAAAATGTTTATGGATTGGCAGTCTTGATATCGTGAAAATACTAATACTGCCCAAAGTAATCTGTAGATAAAGCAGTTCTGAACCAAACACACAAAAGCTAACTCAGAACAGATAGAAGAAAAAAGAAATAAAAAGAATGGATAAAAGATCTAAATTAGCTCACAACCATAAACTTAAAGGGAGACAACTCAGAGGCAATCCTCCCTTTCCTGCTGTCAGGCTGCTTCTTCTCCTTCAGACCGCTCCCATCAAGTTTCTGAGGTT